TGGATAGCTCGCATTGGAATTTCTGTTAGGGCTGCGAAGTATTGAGCTCGGAAGAGACTTTTATCACGCAACATTGGTTTCTCCCGTAAGAATATTGCGCGCTGAACTATTTTTCCTCATTTCCATTTCGTTATGTGCAATTCATAAGATAAAAAAATTTAATGAGGTTTAATGATTTAATGAACTTATATCTACAATTTCATAGAAGATCCGTACGATCTTTTAACTACGTATTAAATGTACGCGATGTTCGCTACAAAACTGCAGAAATTTGTGTTATTTAATACTGATACGAGTTTGTTATGTCGTACAGAGCAATCATAATTGGCTATAAAAATGTTGCTTTTTCTTATCGTAGAAATTTGCAACGTATTGACATAATCGTTCACAATATTGGTATTTTTCCAAACAATTATTTGCTTTATAATTTATTTGTGGAGAAAATTCCTTGCAACAAATCTTTATTTTTTATTTTCATAGAACTTATCGGTGCAAAAGATAACCTTAGTGAGAAAAATACTGTGTTTCTTCGTGCCGTTATGAAGGAATTTCTTATAGTCGACAGAGGTCAAACATGCACGATCCTTATTGAATATTCGATGAATCTTCCTCAATATATGGACGTCGTTAGCGCCGTGAAAATTATTGTAGGTTTTCCAATACCTTTATCTATTTGGGATCATGTTTCGCAGTTGAAAAAGAGAATAGCTACCCATTGATAATGTTTGCAGGAACCATTGATAACGTTCGTAGGATTAGTGGCTACGTTTCTTCTGATTATCGTTTCATGCTCGCATCATGAACTATGTTCGAAACGGCAAGAACAAAAACCTTCCGATAGTTACGCAATTATTTACACAAGTCTACACAACAAAAAAATTCACTTTGGCTGACGCATATAGATACGCATATTTTTCTGTCGACACATAAATGTTCATATGTCGACAAACAGAAGGGTATCTATTGTAAATTATAAATATAGATAAGCTCAGGGGTTTTTACGTGGGAAACCCAGTTTACTCACTAACGATATACCGAGTGAGTTTTTTATCTTGAGACAACGAAAAATCTCGAGAACTGCACATCAAATCAAAAAAAGTTTCAGACAAAAGTTGTATGGTTTCGAGGGGGCCATAAGACGGTACCATTGGTTTGACCTTGAAGAATTATTTGAAGGTCACATAAAGGTCACACCAATTTTTTTAAATGGCATCCCCTATTTTTTATTACATATTCTTGTAGCTCGTAGCTTGTAGCTGTAAAAAACTCACCCTGTATAAACGATTTCGATTCTCTAGCTTCTATCTACATCTTGTTTGTCAAGAAATGTGATATAACAAATCTTTAAATAATAAGAAATCGTTTTATGACGCAAAAGACCGACATTTACCATTTCATCATAGCACACTGGTTATTTCGTGCAGCATGCCAATAGACTGTTTCAAATAAATAATTAATTTTTTAATCAAATATTCAGACTTAATTAACATTTCCCCTTCAGTTATCGAATCGTGACATAAGTAATGCGGTTTTTGGAGATATATTTTAAAACGAAACAAAAACGAAAAAATATTTCACATTTTAATTTTATTATACAAATCTAAGCGTTAGATTCCCACAGTTTTTCCCGCTTGAAAAGGACCAAAACCCATGGTCGAAACATAGCGAGTTTGGAACATTAAAATAGCAGATACGGTCAAAAAAACTTGAAGTTGTTAATTATTGCTGGCAACCCTGAAGATTAACTTGTTATTTTAATTTTAGTTCAAAAAAGTTTTATTATTATAATAACCACATCCAATCTCAATCTTAAATTTTCAATTCTCTGCATGGCGATAAAGGGTCTTTCGCTTTTGACCTAAAGAACAAATCAAACTTCTATACCGCATTATTTATAAGATGATAATATTTAACAGGAAAACTATTACTATGTGTACTTTAATCTCGTACCCACTATCAAGTTTATTTTTAAATTAGAAAACTTTTACTTTATGCCAAACAAACTTTTTTGCTGCGTTCCTTGCAATGATTTTATTGTCATGTATTTATACATTGTCATAGAAATTAAGGATTTTAATCATTGGATAAATGTCAAGTCTTAATAACTGTGCGAGTATTATTAGCTAACAATAAGAAAAAATTTTGCATTGATTGACTTGATGGTAGAACAATATGAATCAATATTTCTTTTCTTCTTTTTCTTTCCTTTCTTTAGTGCGAATATACCGGCATTGTGCACAAATTTCACATTTTCCATTTAAAGCGACGTCTGTATGTAGATAAATACATTCATAAATATTATAATCGTTTCAAAGTCCAGAAGCAATAATTTGAATAACAATCAAGGAGAACAGAACTGCGCATCGGGCTTTTATGCGGTATTAATTTTAATTTCAGATAATTTCTATATATCTACGCTAGTATAAGCTATTGCAAACAGAAAAACTGAAATTATTCGGAAAAATTGGCTGAGCTATGATAAAACATCAGTATACGCGAACGTGAAACGCGCACGGAAAGACCGGCTAAGGCAAAAATAACTAAAATTAAAATGTTACCGTATAAATAGTAGGGACATCTACATTGTTTTGTGTTGCAACATTCACTACCCAGTGAGAAATGATTCGTCGAAACGATGTCGAATCGACATCGACATTGACAAATTGACGTCGATTCGACATCAATTTGACGGTATTGATGTCGATTTGACATCGTTTCGACATCAATCGACGGAACATTTCTCGCTGGGTAAGTTTGGTGCACAAAACGCATATAGTTGTCTCCACTACTTATCATACCAATGTGGGTATGACAACCACAGATAGAGCTATCCCAAATATTACTATTTATTGTGCCAACCCTAAATAAACATGTGGTAACCATATCGGTCTCTCCGTGCGATAAATTACATGCTTGACGTAATTGTCTCCGATTGGAAAAGTTAATGTGACGTTTGCTAACGTACGTTATCTTGCACAAGTCAATAAAAAGTGCCTCTCTCTGTAAAAAGAATATATACTTGAAAACAAGTAACGTCGGGAATATATGAGAGGCGGACAGAGGAAGGAGTGGGGCCCTACTTTATTTTTAAGCGATCCTGTAAATTATGAGCTCAATTTTCTCAATCCTGGTATGTTTCGAACCCTCACTTTACATCGTGACAATCTACTTTTAACTTTCAATTCATAATGCTTACAAGAAAAGCTATAAAGAAAACCGAAAAGTGAGTTTCGAGACATAATGTGGACCCCCTACATTTTGTGTGCGGGAAATTTATAAGAATCATAAAACGTAGAATAACGTGAAGAGAATATGATTAGTACACTGAGAGAAAAAAATA